AAATGCTTCTGCTCCTGTATTTTCAGTCTCTTCTAATATATGCATTTAAGGCTAATTTTTCCCATTAAGATCTGCTTTAGCTGCATACCTCAAGTTTTGCCATGTCATGTCTTTTATCGTTCATTTATAACATTTTTCTGTTGCGCATTAATAATTTTTTAACCTGTGACCTATCTGGTAAATTAAAGCATTTTAATATGCTTGCATGCCTATGTATTAGCATTTCCAAGATATTGCACCATTTCTTTGTTTCTGTAATTGCTTTTGAGGGGGCTGCCAGTGGTCAGTCTCAGTCCTCTCTCTGTCTTTTCTCTGGGCTTACTATTACCACTTCCCTTTTGTTTTAGGTATTCTGAATCTCACTACAATGTGAGTAGTTGAGGATTCATTTTAACTTATACTATTTGGGACTTGTTCTTGGTGAATTTGAAGACTTAGACCTTTATATCATCTATAGTTTAAAGAATAATTATTATTCTTTAAACTACTCTTACTACTATAACTGTTATAATAAAATGGGCACTCAGAGGTCTGCCACCACTAGCTATAGTAGAACGTTACCTGAAGTGAAAGCTGTAGGGATGGCAGGGAAATAACTGTGTCACGTGTTTTTTTGTGAGCATGCAGTAAGAGAATTGGGTGACAACACCTGGCATAGCTGTTGAGTAGTGGTTCCTTCTTAAAGCGAGAAGCCATCAGGATGCGATAAAGCAGATTCCAGCACTTTTAAATGTTTGAGTAACATTTATGGAGCGCTTCAGGTTCTGTAACAGTACTAAGTACTTTGTTTCAATTGTCTCCTTCAATCATCACAACTCTTGAAGAATGAACTATTAAAGTATTCTCATTTTACAGAAGTGAGGTTGGAAGAGGAAATAATTTGTCCTGTGCTTCATAGCTAGAAAATGGCAGAGCCTTTTTTTTTTTTCTTTAACTTTTTATTGTGATTTAGGCGAAAGTTGACAGAGCAAGTTGGTTTTCCAGTCAACAGTTTACACACGTTTTGTTTTGTGCCATTGACTGCAGTCCCCACTGGAATAGTGCTGTTCCCACTTCCTTCCTGTGTTTCCTGTTTCCGTGTGTCTTTCTCTCCTATCCCTTCCTGCCTTCTAGGGTTTACCCCTGGGCAGATGCTGCCCTGTGGGTTTTGTGTGGTTGGTTGTTGTAAGGAGTTCTAGGTACCTCCCTAGTGTTATCGTTCACCTAATAGGCCTGTCTGTTGTTTGGCTGAAAGTTGGGGGTGAATTCCTTTCCAGGCTTGAAGGGTGACTGAGGGCTATAATCTCAGAGGTTCTACCAGTCACTACCTGACCAATAAGCCTGGTCTTTTTGATTACAAGTTTTGTTCCACATGTTTCTCCCACACTATCTGTGACCAGTACTGTGATCTCTTTCTGGTCAGAAGTGGTAGCCGAGTACCGTCTAGCTCTTTTGGGCTTGGGGTCGTGGAGGCTGGGGTTCCCATGGTCCATTAGTCCTGTGGACTGATAGTTTCCTTGCCTCTTTGATTTTCTTTACTCTTCTTTGTTCTGGACAAGGAGAGATCAATAGTTGCACCTTAGGTGGCCACTGACAAGTTTTTAAGACCCCAGTCACTACTCACCGAAGTAGGATGTAGAACATTGTCTTTGTGGACTATGTTATGCCAGTTGACAGTGATGTCACCCAAAACTGTGGTCCTGAGCCTCTAAGCCCAGCAACTCATTCCCTCAAGGTGTTTGGTCATAGCTGAGGAGTTTTAATAACATTACCCCCTGTATGCTCTACAATATTCATGGATGTATTTGCCGCACGTGCAGATACTTATGTAGAAATAGCCTCTGTCAAACTTACATGTATTGTGGAGGTAATCCCATTCACCTTCCCACATCTGTTCACCTTGTGTGTCTGTCTGTATAGCCACTCATAAATGATTGTTATCACTGTTACTGCAGGGTTGTGCGTGTACCTTGGTTGCCTTTAATTCCTGTGCTGCTCATCTTTGTCTCCATCATCTTGGGCTGACCACCCCTTGTTATATAGTGCTTTTCCCTTCACCTAAGTTGATATGTGTCTGTCCTCTAATTCGTGAGCTACCCTCTCTTCCCCGGCACCCCAGGTAACCTTTAAAAGTGTTATTTTCTGTGAATAAACCTTTTTTGACTTTTCATAATAGTGATCTCATACAGTATTTGTCCTTTTGTGATTGGCTAATTTCACTCAGCATAATGTCCTCCAGGTTCATCCATGTTACCAGGTGTTTAACAGATTCTTTGTTGTTCATTAATGTTACATAGTTTTCCATTGTATATTTGTATATCCAAGAATAGTAGTTTATTATATTAAGCGTTATAATTTACATTTGTATAATACCAAGTTGGGTTTTTTTTTCCCCCATCAGTAAAAGCACATCTATAATTTACAATTTGCCTATTGGTAAGAATTGTATTTTGTTGTGGCTATTTGATTAAATAGAATCTTGTGGTTCTAGAAGTTTAGATCCTTGGAATTTAGTTGAATGCCCTTGGTAGTAGCTATTTCTGGAAATGAAAGTTGACAGGTCTTCCTAGTTGTCATGGACTAGTATGAATTCATCCTTTGTAGGTAGTTAAGAGTTTTACATGGCAGTAATAAGGGAGAAATGAGCCTGGGACAACATACAAACCCCAGGGTATTGATGTTGCAATAACAGGTCTGTTTCTCTCTTCTTCAGACTGGTCGAATTGACAAATCCTACCCTACGGTATGTGGCCACACAGGACCTGTGCTCGACATAGACTGGTGCCCGCATAATGACCAAGTCATTGCCAGTGGCTCGGAGGATTGCACAGTCATGGTAAGCTCCTCAGAGTGCACAGCTCTGGCTTTGTCGCCTAACTTGCAAAAAAGTGTGTGTGTGTGTGTGTGTGTGTGTGTTTGAAAAGCAGAAAATCATAACATTTGTGATTGTCCACTGATGTATACAAGGATTTAACTACATTAAAGTTTAACTACAGACAAGCCTTTTGCATGCCCCTATGTCAAGAGCTTGATGCTGTCTTTCCTTTTGAGTATGAGGGTGTGTCTGTACATGCTTATTGACAGTTGACATCTGCTCTGGGACGATTGTAGAGGAAGTGAGACTTCTTCCCAATAATTGTCTGTGCTGTTTGGCCACATGATCCCCCAGGAAGGAAAAAGGCTGCTGGTGCAAACTGTGTATTGCAGTGAAGTAAGACCAAAGGTATATGTCAGATGGGACAGGTCTTGAGACACAGTAAGAGTTTTCACAGGTACTTATTTTCAACCTAATGTCAGAAAGGGTCTTCTGTCCGGTGGAGCCTGGTTAAGAAAGTCCTCCATATGAAAATACACAAAAACTTCAAAGAACAAAGATACACTCTTTGCATCCCCTGTTTTGGATTCCCAAAGTAGGTTACTTTAGTGAAGTGAGTTTTGGTGAAGTGAAACCAAGCTTTAGGACACCACCCCCCCCTTATAATTTATTTTTTGTAACTGTTGTTGTGCTAAGAATATACATAAGCAGAACATACCAGTTGAGCA